GCAAACCAAAAAAAAAAAATATTTTTTATTGCGTTTTCTTTGAAAACCATCTTCTATTTATAGGTTTTTTTCAAAATAATCACATTACGGTTATTTTGAAGAGTTGCGTCTTTTCGAAAAAAATCGCTTTATGGTTATTTGCAAGAGTTGCATCTTTTCATTGAAACCGTTTTGTCAAAAATTGCGTCTTTTCGAAAATAACATTTAAGTATTTATTTTTCGACGTAACCATTTTATGGTTATTGCTAAAAATTGCGTTTTTTCAGAAAAATCGTTTAGCATATATATATATGTTTTAGTTTAGTTATTTTTTGAAGTAACCGCTTTATGTTTATCGTTAAGAGTTGTGTCTTTTTGGAAAAAAAAGTTTAGGCTATATATATATATATTATTTTTTTTTGCCGGTGATCATTTTGTTAATTATGGTTTTGTTAAATATAATAGCAAATCCAAACAAAATAATATTTTTATTGTCTTCTCGGAAAACCGTCTTGTATTTATAGGTTTATGTTAGAATCGAGATTTCAAAGTAATCGCATTATGGTTATTTTGAAGGGTTGCGTTTTCTCGAAAATAATCGCTTTATGGTTATTTGCAAGAATTGCATCTTTTTGTTACAACGCTTTGTCAAGAGTTGCGTTTTTTTATTATAACTGTTTTGTCAAGGGTTGTGTATTTTCATTATACCGTTTCGTCAAAAATGTTTTGACCACTTTTTGATTTTCTAAGTAACCGTGAAGTAGTTATTTTTCTAAGTAATCGCTTTATGGTTATAGTTATGAGTTGCATGTTTTCGAAAAAATTATTTGTTAATTGTACCTATTAGTTCTATAATTCACTTAAAGCATAAGAGATAGATAAAAATAATGTCAATCTATTATTTTAAAATATTGATCTTCTTACTATTGATGAAGTTCCTAAAATTATTGATTTGTATAAAGAATTTTGGATCTTTTAGACGATGCAGATATTACTGGGTCTTTTCAAAAAAAAAAAAATTGTTTGTTCTATATATTTGTGCTTTTAACTCTATATACTTTTTCGTTGAACATTTTGTGTATTTATATACGACAAGTAATTTTAAAATTCACTCAATGCATAACAATGATAAAAACGACATTCTATTATTTTTAAATTATTCAAAAGTATATTTTTTTATTATTGTAGAAGTTCCTAAAATTATTGATTTGTGTAACAAATGTTGGTGAATTCTTTAGATAATGCAGATTTTATTGCTAATTTTAAATTCTAAGATGTTTGAATTAATGCATCATAAAGTTATATTTTTATTTAAAAAATCGTTTAATGATTATTAAAACATCTAAATGTTGCATCTTTTCAAACATTAATTTTATGGTTATTAATGTATCTTTGGGTTGCATTTATTTTTGAAAAAAAACCTTTTATGGTTATTAAAGTGACTAAGTCTTTCGTCTTTTCAAAAATTCAATTTATGGGTAATGATCCATCATATGGTTGGTTATTAAAGCAACTTTTCAAAAATTATGGTTGTTAATGAATCTTAGACTTGCATTTTTTCGAAAAACAGTTTTGTGATTTTTAAACATTTTAGGAATGTGTCTTTTCAAAAAAATCATTTTAATGCATCATGTGGGGGTTGGATTTCACCCCGTAAGATAGCTATAGCAACGAGATCGACTTTGCAGCATCCTGACAGAATCGGAACAAATCTCCAAATGCTCCGTCTGAATTTAGGCACAAAATGACATTAAACCCATTAACAAAATGGGCTTAATGGATTAATGAGTCTAATTTTAATGTACTGCTTAATGGGCCAGGTCCAATTATTAAGTGGTCCATTTTAGTTATAAGTACTATATATAGGTAATTGTACTCTCCCAAAAAAGGGATCGATTCATTTTGTAACCAGAGTTTAAGCAAACACAGCAATAAAACATATCTTCTGTAATGCCCTCGATCATTTATAGACCGGAAACGTCACTGACGAACACTTAGATATCCGATCAGAGGTTCCCGGAACACATATAAATTCCCTAGACAAGACTTCTAAGCGTCCATCCCCATTGAATACACCTCAAGGCTTGCTAACCCGAGACATACACAATGGTTAGTTTGTCCAGACAAGAAGTAATATCACATGAAACCCGAATTTATGCAAACTCAATTTTTATATAATTTATACATAAGTTTCAAACGTGATACAAGCATATACAATAGTGAGTATAACACTCCAAAACGATCATGTACATAATAAACATTATTTATTTACAAAAGACAAGGAAATCTACTGTTGAATTTCCTAACATTCCTTTGGCTCCCGGTGGTCTACCCGCTAATGGTTACCTGCAACACAAGTAGAGTTGTGAGCACTAGTTGCTCAGTGAGTCTAGGCTCTCCTAACATTCAATAATCAATTCCCAATCTAACGGATAAAAAATGCGATAAGTTATGCAATGTCAATATAAGGCTTTTCGCGTAGACTATTTTCCTTCACGTCAAATCACAAGGTATCGTTCAGCCCAAAGCCACGAAGGTTAAGGACCTAAGATCCTTCACCGTTCCAATGGCCTTATGTGTATAAGGACTCGCATCAGAAATTCTGCATCGTCATGCAGTACTCGCATTAGAACCTCACTTGTAATTTAATTAAACACGCAACAAGTATCACCGAGACTCACCTTTGACTTAACGAATGATCGCGTTTGTCTTAGACTTTTACAAACGGTTTTGCCTTAGCCTTTGAACTGGAATCTGTTCTAAAGGTTCATGAATTAATTAAGGCAAGACTTAGAGTTTTATTAAGGGAAATTTGATGGTAAAGCCCATGGATCTTACCTAACTTGGAACTGAGCTTGCCGTGGACTAGCTCTAGATCTTTCGAAGTCTAGCCAGTTCTGATCCTACGATTTTAAGATAAAACCAAATATTGGATCAAGAAACTAAGGTTAGAATCATGATCAGCACCAAAAATCACTTCGGAAAACTAAGGTTTGATCCAATAAGGCTTACTCGAAATATTTCTGAAACGGCTCAGAAACAGTTACGGTGGACACGAGATTGGACAGAGTAAGGCTCAGGAAATTTCTCATTCCTTTGAAACCTAATGGAACCTAAGTTTCCACGAAAAGATCCTAGAAATTGGACTGATCGGATCAAGGTAAGATGATACGGACTGAACAGTTGGACTGATGGATTCGGAATGATCGTAACAAACTATCACAACTAAGTTAAAAGTTTGCGGTGAACTGATCTATGTTGAAGGGTCGGGCTATTTATAGGCGCATGTAAGCTGGTGAAGCAGCTGGACACCTGCCAAGACCGTTCCACCGAGCCTTTCCCGTGTCGCGACACGCATCTGTGATCGTGCTTCTGACCAGGCGTGTGTCCGACACATGCCACCGTGTGCCAGTCACGCATAGGCACAACTCGGGCGCAAGCCTGCCTATGGCCTACCCACGGCCGAAGCAGCTCGGTCACCAAGGAGGCTAGCTGCCCAACTTATTCATCAAGCTGC